GCCAGGAAGAGCGCCGCAAGGCCGCGGAAGCAGAAGCGGCAGAGAGGGAAAGGCGGCTTCAGGTGGACTGGCGGTGTACACTAAATCCGTGTTGGTTTTTGCATGCAACCCCGCCAGGAAGAGCGCCGCAAGGAAGCAGAAGCAGCAGAGAAGGAGAGGCAGCTTCAGGTGGACCGGCGGCTTGCACTGAATCCTAGGTGCTCAGAGTTTCGAGGCTGTTCGTTTGTGTTTACAACTCTGCTAGGGGTCCCGTTTTTTTCTCCTAGGTCTGACCCGGTCTGGGGGGCCTTGGTAGGTCTGGCCTGGCCACCTGGTCCCCTGGTCCCTGGTCCCCTGGTCCCATGGTCCCCCGGTCCCTGATCCCCTGGTCCCATGGTCCCCTTTGCTTGTGTGTTTGCATCAAGCTATTGAAAAACTACAGTGTGAACGGTCTTGTTTTGCTCGTGCTTTGCCTCCTGGTGCGGTGCAGGCGTCGCGCTCGGGTTACGTTGGGGTGGTGGTGGTGGTCGTGGTCGTCAAAGTTGTACTGTAGTAATCGTAGTGGTAGTAGCAGCAGCTGTAGTGGTAGTCGACAGAAGTAGCTGTATGCTTGTCTTTTTTGGCCCCTACACCTTGGATCGTAGCCTGAGGCTCTGAAGGAAATTCACGAGTGGCATGTGCAACCCGAAGCATGTAATTTTGGAATCCTTAAAAGCTTCGTGCCCCCGAAGCCCGACAGCAAAAACCCTACAGGTTTAAATGCTGGAGGACAGGCTTAAAGCACCCAAATACCGCATCCTGTTTCCAACGTCCAACGTAACGTAGAAGCCTGGAGATAGCAACGCTGCGCCATAGTGTCCCTTGACGCATTTTTTGTATGCATACCTCGAAAGCCCATGCTGTCACGACAGGGTTTAGCGTATAAGACCCTGCAAATGGTAATTCCCCATTAGCTTGATGCAAAACACAAGCAAAACAAGATCCTGCAAATGGTAACTCGCCAATAGCTTGATGCAAAACACAACCAAAACAAGACCCTGCAAATCAGTTTGCTGGGTTTGCAGCCCAAACGAGGGAGCCATACTTAGGAAAGCAAGCCGGGGCGGGCCAGACTTAGTAAAAAAATCCTCCGCCCTCTGCTAGGAGGAGCGCACCCGGGCCGCAGAGGCAGAAGCAGCGGAAAAGGAAAGGCGGCTTCAGGTGGACCGACGGTGTGCACGAAATCCTACGTGCTCAGAGTTTCGTGGCCGTTGGTTTCTGCTGGCTATCCCTGCCAGGCAGAGCTTCGCAAGGCGGCGGAAGCAGAAACAGCAGAAAAGCAAAGGCGGCTTCAGGTGTGACCTGCTTGGCAGTACATCCACCAGCACAGAACTTTTTTGTTGCGTTGTCTGGGTTTACCTGCCAGGAAGAGCTCCGCAAGGGGGTGGAGGCAGAGGCGGCACTGAAGGAGCAGCGGCTTCAGGCGTACGGGTCCTGTTGCAGGATGTCCACAACTCTAGATATTTTCGGGCCAGGAAGAGCGCCGCAAGGCCGCGGAAGCAGAAGTAGCGGAGAAAGAAAGGCGGCTTCAGGTGGACCGGCGGCTTGCAGTAAATCGTGTATGCTCAGAGTTTCAAGGCTGTTCGTTTTTGCTTGTAACATCTTGCAACCCTGCCAGGAAGAGCGCCGCAAGGCCGCGGAAGCAGAAGCAGCAGAGAGGGAAAAGCGGCTTCAGGTGAACTGGCGGTTTACATTTAATCTGGGTTGGCTTCTGCATGCAACCCCGACAGGAAGAGCGCCGCAAGGAAGCAGAAGCAGCAGAGAAGGAGAGGCGGCTTCAGGTGGACCGGCGGCTTGCACTGAATCCTACGTGCTCTGAGTTTCGAGGGTGTTCGTTTCTGTTTACAATTCTGCTAGGAGGAGCGCACCAGGGCCGCAGAGGCAGAAGCAGCAGAAAAGGAAAGGCGGCTTCAGGTGGACCGACGGTGTGCACTAAATCCTACGTGCTCAGAGTTTCGTGGCCGTTGGTTTCTGCTGGCTATCCCTGCCAGGCAGAGCTTCGCAAGGCGGCGGAAGCAGAAGCAGCAGAAAAGCAAAGGCGGCTTCAGGTGTGACCTGCCTGGCAGTACATCCACCAGCACAGAACTTTTTTTGTTGCGTCGTCTGGGTTTACCTGCCAGGAAGAGCTCCGCAAGGGGGTGGAGGCAGAGGCGGCACTGAAGGAGCAGCGGCTTTAGGCGTACCGGTCCTGTTGCAGGATGTACACAACTCTAGATATTTTCGGGCCAGGAAGAGCGCCGCAAGGCCGCGGAAGCAGAAGTAGCAGAGAAAGAAAGGCGGCTTCAGGTGGACCGGTGGTTTGCACTAGGTCCATGTTGGTTTCTGCATGCAACCCTGCCAGGAAGAGCGCCGCAAGGCCGCGGAAGCAGAAGCGGCAGAGAGGGAAAGGCGGCTTCAGGTGCACCGGCCGCTTACGGTAAGACGCAGTAAAGAGTTGCAAACAGGCTGCTCAGGACTTCTTGAGGCATCCCAACAGGAACATAAGCATTTACTGGGGATATCTCCACCTTATTGGGCTTCATTATCAGGGGGTTTTCTGGGGCCCTAATCTTTCACATTCTAGACGGATGCCTCAGATGTTTTCGTACATTGCTTACCCGAAGCCGCGCATCCCGAATCATGCCTGCGCCCGAATTAAACCCCGGCCTAAATCTCAAAACCCCGATACCCTAAACCCGGCAAGCCCTAAACCCGGAACCTACACCCTAAACCCTAAGCCCTCCCCCGAAAGAAGCGCAAACCCTTCCCCCAAAAACAAGCAACCCTCCCAACAAGCGGAGAGTTCTCTACTTCCGGGTCCTCTTCTTGTTGAGGCGTGTAGTGTAGGTTCAGCATTTCTTTTTTTTGTTGCGCGTTTAAAGTTCAGGCGAGAGCTTGGGCGTTTTTTTTTGAGCCGTTCAGCGTTAGGGTTGTACGGTTTAGACCCTTGGCTCTAAGCCTCGTTCGGTGTTAAAATCTCTGCCTCCGTGTTTTGTTTCCGTGGGCGCACACCGAGCCAGGCTGCTTTACCGACAGTTGGCCTTAGCCTGAAGCCTGAGTTAGAGTTAAGGGTTTAGGGTGTATAGGGTTGAGCGCTAAGGGTCTAGGCTTTATCAGCCAACTACACCCTAAACCCTATACCCTAAACCCCAAAGATTTAAAGCCCTAAACCCGAATAAGATAATTACAAAATATTATTCGGGTGGTTCCTTAGTATAGTTATAGCATAGCTATAGTGGAATATGCCCCAAAACCCTATTCTAATTGTAAAGGCCCCTGTATGACTTAACTTCCCATTCTCCCTTGCTGGGCCAGAGAGGATTCCATTTACGAATATTGTTTCAAAGGCTTTGAAGGGGACCCCAACACCCTGCACTACGGTTGATGATAAAGAATCCTGCGTTACCCACAATAAGGATTATACCACAATTCCCATACTTAGGGTCCTTAATAATGCAGGATGTATATCATCAACCGTAGTAATTCTTACTGCTCCTACATTAAGAATGTAGCTCAGCTTATCTTACGAAACCCGGTATTCTAATGGAGTATTGTTCGGTTCGCAATACGACATCCTGTCGAGTTCAATGCTTATTCAGGGTCATTCCTCAATCAATAAACCCAGAGAACCCAACACCCCTCAACTAAGGAATATGCCTTAAACCATACTTTCAAGACCCCCTAAACCCTAAACCCTAAACCCTGAACCGAAGGATTATTCCCGGATTAAGGGATATTGGGATCTCTGGTAAGTTGATGGTTTGGTGTGGAGGCTTTCGGGTTCAGAGGCTAGGGTTTTAAGGATCAAAGCTTTGTTTTCTTGACGTCTGAAGAATTACTGGTTTTACGGGTTTATTAGGGTTTAGGGATGAGGGCTTGGCGGGGTTTTGAGCCTGGCATGCGAGGCCCAAGAGGAGCGAGAGATGATGGTGTAGCAAGCAGACGCAACCAAGCAGAAGGCCAGTGCCTTCTAGCAAGCATACCCTAAACCTTAAACCCGACAGGTGAGGGGTTTACCGCTTGAGATGTACGGTAAGGGGTTCCAGCGCTGGGGATTTTAGAGGGGTCTTGGAGTTTAGCGTGGCTGCACCCTGCACCCTCAACCCTAAAGCCTGCACCCTAACCCTAAACCCTAAACCCTAAACCCTAAACCCTAAACCCTAGACCCTAAACCCTAAACTAGGGTTCAGGGCTTGTAGGGCCCAAGGTTTTTACTGAACCCGGAACTTTAAACCCCAAAATGCATAAACCCCTACAGCCCAGGCCAATCCTGACACTTCAGCTGCAGTGCGTTCGGGTCACCAGGTGGGCCGACTGCCATTTTTGCTTGAAAGGCTTGCATGATTTTGGGGGCCCAAATACTGTTGATGATATAAATCCTGCACACAACAAAGGACCCTAAACTATGGGAATTGTTGCCTATTCCTTACTTGCAGGATTTGCATCATCAACCGTATTTAGGGTTTACGGTTTAAAGTTGCCAACACGAGTCCTCGGGGTTCCTGCTTATGGTTGGGTTTCAGTATAGCATGCCTCGATTTTGAGCATGACGGCCTCCTTTTTGTAAGAGGGGCAGAGAGGTCGAGGGTGAGGATCCATTCGAGGGTGCCCGGTAGTTTAAGTAGAGTTAGACACTTGAATCGGTTTTACAAGCCCTCTGGGTATAGTCTCCTTGCTGACAGCCTTTCTTACAACTTACTTCCCATAAGCCTTCAAGTATCCTGAGTCCTGAACCTTGAGCCTTGAACTGCCTTGAACCCTAGACCCTACGCCCCAAACATCCCACCCCCTCAACGCAACAGCCCTACACCCTAAACCCTCGCTGCGGACCTTCTGATGCAGGTGGATTGGGACTGCTTGGAGATCGATGAAGCCCAAGCCCAAAGCTCCGAAATGCCAAGGGTTCAGTGTTCTCAGAGATCCCAATGTCCCTTAAGCAGGGAATATGCCTGAAGTTGCAGGGGGCATAATGTAGTGATGTAGGGTGTATTCCTTAATTAAGGGCTATTGGGATCGCTGGGTTAAAGGTTTAAATTGGTTTAGAGATGGGGGTTTACGGTGTGGAGCTTTGGAGAAGAAGTCCCAAACCCTAACCCTCAGCCCTAAACCCTAAACCCTAAACCGAAAGAAGCCGGGAACCCTAGGCCCTAAGCCCTAAGAAGCCCCGAACCTTATACCCTAAACCCTAAACCGAAAGAAGCCCCAAACCCCAGACCCTGTGCTCCGAAACTCCAAACCCTCTGCTGTGCAGAAAAAGGGCCTCAGCACAGCGACTAAAAAGAAACCCAAGCCCTAAACTTTCCCCACTTGTCAAAAACTGTCCTAAACTCTAGGACCCTGGAGTCTAAACCCTAAGCTATCTCACTTTCCTTAGATTTTAAACCTTCCTAAAGTCTAAGACCCAAAGCTATCAAACGCCAAATGCTGAAAACCTAGGTTGTGCGGATGAACATAGAAGCCAAAATAATACCAACATTGTTCTTGGGGTTCCTTATCATAACTATAGTATAAAGGAGCCCAGAAACCCATTCTGACTATTATGGCCCCTAATATACAACCCTATCATAGATCATAGATCCCTTATAGAACCCGTTCAGGATTCCTCTAAAGGAACCCTATTCTAATTATTAAGGCCCCTACATTAAACCCTAAACCCTAAACCCTAAACCCTAATTATTAAGGCCCCTACAGTACGGCCCTTTCGACAACCACTCGAAGCCCGAAGCACGGAGCTCCCCAAGCTGGATTGCTGCTAAGGAACTTGGGGTTTAGGGTTTAGGGTTTTAGGGTTTAGGGTTTAGGGTTTAGGGTTTTAGGGTTTAGGGTTTAGGGCTCTAAAAAGGAAACCCTATTACTAAGTTACTCTGATAAGGAACCCTATCATATAAATTTCTTTAAGAAGGAACCTTACGATTAAGTTACTCCAGTAAGGAAGCCCTGTTATCTACTATATACCCCCATTATAGTAACTAAAATTGGGTACGATTTGCTATATAACCCTTAAACCCTAAACCCTAAACCCTAAACCCTAAACCCTAAACCCTAAACCCGAAACCCCACAACCCTAAACCCTACAGCCTAAACCCTAAACAAGCCCCAAACCCTAAACTCTACACCCTACAACCCTAAACCCTTCGGATTGCATGTATCGCAACCCTAAACCCTAAACCCTAAACCCCTAAACCCTAAACCCTAAACCCTAAACCCTAAACCCTTAAACCCTAAGCCCAGTATGCTCCTCACCCTGGTGGACTCCTCCAAAATCCCAATCTTGAAGCCCTAAACCTCTGAGCCCTACTATGGAGTCTCGGGTGTAGCGACCTTTCAAAGGAAGGTTTAGGGATTTAGGGTTTAGGGTTTGGGGTTTAGGGTTTTGGGGTTTAGGGCTTAGGGTTTAGGGTCAGGTAAAGGGTTTTTTGCTTTTAGAGTTTCTAAGGCTTAAGGTTGCGGGGTTCGGGTTTCGGAGTTTGGGGGTTTTTGAGTTCTTGAGGCTTTGCTTGTGCTTCTCCCGGGAGAAACACAACGGTCCTCCGTCCCTCTCACCCTCCAGCACCCAAAGCATAGATGGCTTTATCCCGGTAGTCCACCTAAACTGCCCGAATAGCCACCCAAACCACATGTAGGCTTCAGAATCTCCTTACGGTCGGAAGTACAACTTTACTGTACTGTTTAGGTTTTGGATGCCTTGGGGTTAAGATTACCCTAACCCCTACACCCTAAACCCTAAATAAACCCTAAACCCTAAACCCGAAACCCCACAACCCTAAACCCTACAGCCTAAACCCTAAACAAGCCCCAAACCCTAAACTCTACACCCTACAACCCTAAACCCTTCGGATTGCATGTATCGCAACCCTAAACCCTAAACCCTAAACCCCTAAACCCTAAACCCTAAACCCTAAACCCTAAACCCCCAGTTTGGGTTCCTGGTTTCAGCGGCTCTCCGGGTCCCAGCCCCAGTTTGGCTCCTTTGAGGGCTTCCTTTACGGGGGTTTAGGGTTTAGGGTTGAGGTTTAGGGTTTAGGGTGAGGGTTTAGGGTTTAGGGTTTAACGTTTATGGTTTAGGGTTTAGGTTTTAGGGTTTAGGGTTTAGGGTTTAGGGTGCGGGGGCTCCTGTTTGGGTTCCTTTGAACATTCTACAAGGGTCTGGGCCCCTAAACCCTGAAACCCTGCATCCTAAATCCGTCTTAGGGTTTAGGGTTTAGGGTGTTTGGGTTTAAAGTTTAGGGTTCATAAAAGCTCGAGAGTAAAGACAACTATCCCTGCTGGAGCCCTGCTAAAGCCTGGGAAATCCTTTCAAGGCACGGCAACACCCTAAACCGGAAAACCCAGAGCCCTCAACCCCAAAAACCCCTCAAGCCAGGAACCCCCAAAACCCTTGGCTTAGGGTTTAGGGTTCAGGGTTCAGGGTTTAGGCTTTAGGGTTCAGGGTTTAGGATTTAGGGCTTCGGACCCCCAAGCTTCCTAATCCTTCCAACCCTAAACCGCCAAGGCCCAGGCTTCAGGACCTAAGCCTTAAACCCTGAACCCTAAACCCTAAACCCTAAACCCTAAACCCTGAACCCGAAACCCTAACACCCTAAACCCTAAACCCAAAAACCCTAAACCCTAAACCCTAAACCCACCGAGGCCCTCTCTGCGGAGGACCCGCTCCCAATGGCCACACCCACTCCTCCTACGCCGCGGTCGACCAAGGCCCCGGGCTGTAATGTAGGGGCCTTAAGAATTTTTAATAGGGTTCCTTTTAGAATAGGGCTTAGGGTTTAGGGTTTAGGGATTAGGGGGCCTTAATAATTGGAATACGGGTTCCTTTTAAGGGATCCTTACAGGGTTCTATAAGGGATCTATGATAGGGTTCTATATTAGGGGCCTCAAAGCCGTCAGGCACTGCGCATATTTAGTGTCTAGGGTTTAGGGTGTAGGGCTTAGGGTGTAGGGGTTAGGGTTTACCCTAAACCCTAGACCCTCCGAAAAGGCAGCTGGAACGCAGCAACGGCCCCTTCAACGGCCTAAATCCCGGAATGGAAGCCTTATAGCAACAAGGGTTTTAGGGTTTAGGGTTTCGGGCTTTAGGGTTTGGGGACTTAGGGCCCGGAAAGATTTTCGACATCAAGCAAGCCCGTTTGAACAGACGCCGTCGCTTCCAGCGGCACAGCCTTCACCGCCTTCCGATGCGCAGCACCCAGCGCAGCGGCTGGGATTCCGGCGGGTTTGCGTTCTAAGCCCCAACACTTGAATTTCGGACAAGAGCGTAAGCATCAGCTGTTGAAAGCCACCCGTCGCTTTATCCAAACACACCCGGGCAGTTATTGTCTCAGCTCCTGCTTCGGCAGTTTTCCAAATATCTGTGGGCAGCTGTACAGGGTTCTACGGCACAGACTCGTAAACAAGGCCCTTAATCCACTTCTCGACATGCTGTCCGGCTTCGCAACACGCCCAAAACCACAAAGCCTAAACCCCCAAACCCCCAAACCCCAAACCCTAAACCCTGGTTCGCAGTCTTTTCTCATGATGTTCGTGCACATTGCACCAGCTCGTTTGGCTCAGGACATCAGTGTCGACAAAAAGTGCGACTGTCGCGAGCCTTTGTCTAGCCTTCGCTCTCCCATGTCCTGCCTCTCGACCATGCCAGCCGCGCCCAGTGGCTCGGAGACCACAGTGGTTCCGGAGCTCAGCGACAGCGAGAGCGTGAAAGGGACGTGCTCCTCAGGATTTCCCTCACCACGCCCAGACACACCGGAGTGTGTGGACGGGCAGTGCAAGGTTTACGTTAAGGCCACCTTCCTCGATGTGGATGAGAGCCAGGGCCTCATGCAGTGCTTCGCACAGCTGCGGGGTCGGACCATGTCAGACTCGGCTGCCGTGATCGCCTTCGACATCGAGGAGGCCTACGCACCTGGAAAGTTCAGTGAGCAGCACGCCAGTGACTGCATTGCGAAACCGACGACTGTATGCGCTAAAGAGCCAGCCACCCAGCCGAAGTCGAACGTGCAGAAGAAGAGAAGCAGTCCGGCAAAGCAGGTGTCGGACAGAACGACCGTCATGCTTCGCAACATCCCCAACAACTACACGCGAGAGATGTTCCTTGCTCTCCTTGACGACAACGGCTTCGCTGGCCGCTACGACTTCGTTTACGTGCCTTGTGACTTCCGGCGCCAGGCCAACTTGGAATGCCGAAAGTCACGTGCATCGTAATTCAAGCCTAAGTTTCCTCCTTGAGATGAGGGTTTAGGGTTTAGGGTCTAGGGTGCATGGCTCACTCAATTATGCAATGACCTTGAGTTTAGCCTTCTTTGTGGCCCCCCGGCCTGAACTCTGAAGCCTGTTCCTGGGCTTTTTCTAAGGTGCAGGATACCTTAGAGCCCTTCAGCCCGAGTCCCTTCTTTTCTCATTAGACTAAAATGCGGGGGTATCTCGTGCGATAGTAGTCCTGCCCCTAAACCCTAAACCCGACACGACCGAAAAACCCCAAACTCCAAGCCCCTAAACCCTAAACCCTAAACCCTAATCCCTAAACCCTCAACCCCTAAACCTTTAAAGGCGAACTTGGGCTACGCCTTCGTCAACCTCGTGGACGCTTCCGCCGTGGATGCCGCCTGGGCCACCTTCGATGGCTTTGCGGATTGGGCGCTGCCGACCCAGAAGGCTCCAAGCAAGCTTTACAAAGGTT